CACTGTCCACCTAGAAAAAAAAGACTCATTTTTCTAGTTTTTACAAAAGCTTCTAATAAATGAGTGGGATCCATCAAAATGAGTGATTAGGTAGAAATTTCTAGCAGTTACTCAAAACTTCACCTGAAAAAAAACAAAACAAAACAAATAACTTTGAAAGCATGAAGCTATTTACCTTTCATCATTCTGGCCCGTCCATACAAACTAAATGCTGGAATTTTTCCTGTGTGAGTTAGGCTTTTGTATGGTATCCACATTTGTAATTCTAAGTACAACTATTTTAAAATGGAAAAGTCTTTGAAGGACAGCTCTTCAATTGAATAACAGATGTAGAAAAGTTTATCTTTTCCAAGGAAAGACAGGTCTTAAAGTGGTTTCTTTCTCACTCCATGTATTTGACAAGGGGCTGTACTCACCATAATCTCTCAGAAACCTAGGCTGATGGAGGCTAAATCCTCACAGTAGAAGGAAGGAAAGTTAGCGAATGGTTTATTGCATCTGAAAGCCTCTTGTGTTAAAGTAACATGTAAAACTTATACTCATTTTTTTCCCAAGTGTCAAAGCAAAGTGAAGAGTTGAATTCCGCCATGTGTACAAATGTATACTTGCCATATTTACGGAAAGCCCTCATGACTGCTAAAGCAGGCTAGGGAATGACTCACATTGCTTATAACCATATTCAAATATGAGTTGAAGAATTTCATGCAACAACTACAAATTACTTGAATTATATATTCACTAACAACAACGAAAACCTAACTGTATTAATATGTAAATAGAAAGTGGCTATCTTCCTTATGGCTTATAAAAATTAAAGTTATGAAAACAAAATATTTGATAATATGAAAGCTTTTTAGGTTTGTTATTAGTATAGACTACTACTAATTAAATCCTTTATTTTATAAAGGGTATAGAAAAATGCTTAAAACAATTTTTTTTATTCCCTAATTAGCTTATTTTGAAGTTATAAAGACTTGTGCTATGGACTTTAATTGGGTACACTGAAAGCCTTATTTTGTGACCAATGATTCATCTTATTCTAGCATATATACATAGTTGAACCAAGTAGTCTTAAATACATAAGCCACTTTCTCCTTCCTCTGACAAAATCCTGGTATCACTGCCATGCCATTTCCCTCACTATATGTGTGTGAACGCATTCACGTTTTCTATGGAGGCAAATATATGATCCTTCTGACCAATGCAATGAGGCATAATCTGAAATCTTTCTTCATTAATTATTCATTTATTCACATGTGCATACATTGTTTGGGTCATTTCTCCCCCCTGCCCCCCTCACCTCCAGGCAGAACCTGTTCTGCCTTATCTCTAATTTTGTTGAAGACATAAGCATAATAAGGAAGACAAAGCATTTTTGCTAGTTAAGGATAGTTATACAGAAATATTCCTAGCATTGCCTTCGTGTACACGTGTTAAAACCCACGTTGACTCATCTCTAACTGATCTTTACACTGGTTACTGATCCCCTTTTTATGTTAACCTCTGTTGCTTTAAGGTCCCTGGAGTGGGGACATAAAACGCTTTCATGTTTTGGGTTTTCTACCTATTCCTGTATCTCCTGTATGTGCTCTCTCCTTGTCATGTGATCCAAGTCCAACCACATTGCTGTATTTGCCCTAGATGTAAAGTCCGCATATGAGGGAGAACATACAATTTTTGGTCTTCTGAACCTGGCTAACCTCACTCATAATGATGTTCTCCAGTTCCATCCATTTACCTGCAAATGATAAGATTTCATTCTTCTTCATGGCTGAGTAAAATTCCATTGTGTACAAGTACCATATTTTCTTGTTCCATTCATTAGTAGTGGGGCACCTTGGTTGCTTCCATAACTTGGCGATTGTGAATAGTGCTGCAATAAACATGGGTGTGCAGGTGCCTCTGGAGTAACCTGTGTTGCATTCCTTTGGGTGTATCTCCAGGAGTGGGATTGCTGGATCATCAGAATACCTGACTTCAAACTGTATTACAAAGCAATAGCAATAAAAACAGCATGGTATTGGCACAAAAACAGACTTGAAGACCAGTGGAATAGAATAGAGGACCCAGATAAGAATCCACACAACTATACCCATCTCATTTTTGACAAAGGTGCCAAAAATATATGATGGAAAAATGTCAGCCTCTTCAACAAATGTTGCTGGCAAAGTGGTTACCTGTTTGCAAGTAACTGAAACTAGATCCATATCTCTCACCTTGTACTGTATCAACTCAAAATGGATCAAGGACCTAAATATCAGACCTGAAACTCTGAAGTTACTACAGGAAGGAGCAGGAAACACTCTGGAACTAATAGGTATAGGCAAAGACTTCCTCAATAGAACCCCAGCAGCCCAGCAACTAAGAGAAAGGATGGACAAATGGGACTTCATAAAACTAAAAAGCTTCTGCACAACAAAATGGTCTCTAAACTGAGAATACCCACAGTGGGAGAAAAAATTTGCCAGCTATACATCAGACAAGGGACTGATAACCAGAATATATATATATACAGGGAACTTACAAAACTAAACTCTCCTAAAATCAATGAACCAATTAAAAAATGGGCAACTGAACTGAACTTTCTCAAAAGAAATTCAAATGGCCAAAAAACCATGAAAAAATGCTCACCATCTCTAGCCATAAAGGAAATGCAGATCAAAACCACACTAAGATTCCACCTCACCCGTTAGAATAGCCATCATCGAAAACACCACCACTATGTGTTGGTGAGGATGTGGGGAAAAAGGAACCCTTGTACAATGCTGGTGGGAATGCAAGCTGGTGCAACCTCTGGAAAAAAATTTGGAGGTTTCTTCACTCTTAAAACCCAGACAGTAATTCCGTGCTGGACATTGTCAAATTTGTATGAAATGCCTGAACTATAGCAGACAATGTAAAAAACAGCTTTGGAAAAACAGTGTAAGAAAGATGGAAGGTCTTTAAATTCTGGAGATCAATCTCTTCTTAAAAAAAAATACACCACCACCAAAAAACCTGCTAATATTATTAAGACAGTGACTTAAAATGATTGTCTGAAACAAGATAAAGAGCTACTTCAGCCAAAATACAAATCAGTTTACTTTTTATCAAGGAGCTTTGTGTGTCACAGTTAAGTTGGATGTTGGCACAAGTTCCTAATCTTACTGGTTTTTAAAACAAGTGAATTATTTCAGAACATTCACATTCAAAGTTGAAAATCAAGACTCAATAGACAAGTTGATTAGAGACCCGAAATTTGGCCAATTATCAGGGAAAATTCATGTTTACTCATAGTATATTGACCACTCATGACAAGCTGGTATGGAAAACTGGCAAGAAAGTATTGTAAAGTTGTTCATAGTGTTGGAGGCTTGAGATGTGTTTAGTCATATTTTCATTTTAATCGTTAATGATATTCTAAGAAAAACAGCTCTTGAGTGGTTAAATCTGGTTTTAAATCCAAGCAAGTCCTGAGTATACAATCTTAACCTCTATTACAATGATTCTGTACCAAAATGCAGGTCATTGTTTTCAGGGTGGCTTCAGCTTAATTATGGAACCCACATAATGGTTTCCCTTAAAAAAAATGAATCCTGGGTTCTGAATAAATCCACAGTATTCCATGCCACAAACTTTATTTGGCTTTGCTTATATTGGGTTCATCCAGTGTACTTTTTAGATAAATTTAAATTACAAAAATTAATCTTTTGTGACCTTAAAAATGCAATCCAACACTTAAAAAAGCAGATTTGCTGGTGAAAATTATACTAACTGTGTATCTATGTGGAATTGTTACTTTTATACCTTGGCAGGGCTATAATGTGCAGGTATTTGTTCAAACATTATTCTATTTCTGTGAAAGTGATTTCCAAGTAAGAATATCATTTCAATTGGTACACTTTTGGGATTAGCTGATTACTGTCTGTAATATGGCCAAGTCTCATCCCATTGGGTGAATGCCAACAGAACAAAAAAACTAACCTACATCAGGCATCAGACTCTTCCTTGCAATGCCTGCCTGCTGGCATACCTAGAGATTCTGGACTTGACAACTACCACAATCACACAAGCCAACTATTTAAAAATAAACCTCTATGTGTGTATTCTGCTGGTTCTATTTATTTGGATAACCCTAACAAAGAAACTAAGCAGTTGTAATTTAGAATGCACAGCCAGCCTGTTGAAGCTCCTCTTCCCAACCTTTTTATTTTAATAGGGATGGGCAACTTGTACTCCTAACAGCAGATAGGCAGAGGAGGATTTTCCTCTCATGTGTAATCCTTCAAATATTGTACCTAGACCTTAACAAATATGGTTCCTTTAGATTGCTAAAATATTTTAAGCCAGAAGAAAAAAATCATACTTAGGACTTGCCAGAAATTAAAAAGGTTTTATATACAGCCCACTGAACAATCCTAGGAGGTAAAGATTATCACTGTTTCCTCCATGAAAACTGACACAGCTAAATGTGTAAGTTAATGGCAGAGATTTGAATCCAAAGTTCAAAACCATTTTATGAGCCCTAAACTACAGAAAACCTGAATGTTCCATGAAAAAGCTCTCAACACAGAATGAGACTGGATTTGTCACTGGCTAATAAAGAGTAATTCATGTCATACAAGCACAAGGAAGATCTGGACAAAGTCATATAAGATAGAGTGCAACCACATTTATGTACTAATTATTTAAACATAGTTCCTAGCTCACAAATTGATAGAAAAATCAAAAGTTCTGGCAAATCAGTAGTTTTACACTAGAACCCTACAGAAAAATCTAATGTTATGAAGACTGGCCTAGCCAGCTTACCTTGTTCCATGAAGAGATGTACAATTCACATTAAGTTATTACATTTTAAATTTGGTGAGTATATCCTGTTCACAAATTCAATTCACTGGCAAAATTAATCAGAACCACCTTTACCTCCTAGGTATGATGTATTACAGACAAAGCTCCACAAAAATGATTTAAAAATATTGAGAATTACCTAAATTATAACATAAGCACACGCTCAATTATCACATTCTCTATTTCAGAGAAGAGGCATTAGGCATTCATGTCATGAGTTTATTTACAAACATATCTAGTATGCTGTAAGTTTAAGAGTTTGATCCATTTTCCAAAGAGACTGCCCCTCTTGAAACATTCTTCGCATCTGCAAAATAGAAACAAAAATTAAAGGCATTTAAAAAACCCTACTAGTTTTACAGAAGTCATGTAATTTTGTTAATGTATTATTTTGTTTGGTACATCAGAAAGCGTTTACAGTATCATGACTTTATTCATACTGATTTGCTTCATCATATGCACCAAAACCTTTCACATTAATGGCTTGGGTAGTTCAATCTCCTTAAAGTCTAAGGCATATTTTGAAATTTACCCAGTTATTCCAGAGCGCTTCCACTAGCATTCCATTAGAAACTGCTCACAGTCATGCTAAATAATTTTTTTATTCACAGACAGGGAGTCGATGTTTATCAACGAGTACGTCATACTTCCTTGGACACATACTAATATACATTCCCTCAATGCAGGGGTTCTCAACCTCAGCACCACTGGTATTTTTCCTAATCAGACAATCAAAAATGTCTCCGGACATTTGTCCCCCATTCACAGCATGGCACAAAATCATTCCCATTTAAGACTCATTGCCTTAATTTTCACAAGATGACTGAATTGATTAGCCATGGAAATACTTGGAACAGATATAAATGAAAGGATTACAAGCATTTTATCTCCTGGGGCTTTTCATACATTGAATCAGTATCGCAAGCCTAGATTTTAAGAACCGGGAGCTCAGTGACCATTTTACAGAAGGAATCGAAAGATTTACATTGTTTTAAGAGGCAAATTCTAAGCCATTTTTATTTTAGTAAAAAGTACCCAAGATTGAATAACATCAATCACTTTACTAGTACTTTACCTGATTAAAGTGGTACTCAATATAATACTGGCCATTATTGATCAAAATCATTTGTTTATAGGTTATCAGTGTTCACTGATGTCACATCTACACTTAACAGAAAGCACTGCTTTAGGAAGATCAGAAATTCATTAGTTACCTGTTACATGGATGAATTAAAACATCCTTATTTCTTAAGCAGTTGGTGTCTTACTATAAAGAATGGTGCAGCAAATCCAGATCCAAAATACAAGGTCATCATAGCCAGTAATCGCCATTTGTTTTCCACTGAAAATGGAATATTCTGTTGGGAGAGAAAGCAAGAAAAATTGAACCTCAAGTTATTTAATTTTATAGATCAAAAGATAAGTGCAAAAAATATATTAAAAACAAAAATACATATTTTACATAATCAGGTGCACATACAACTAGACGACAAGAAGTATTTGGCTTTACTCAAATCAGGCAAGTTTTAAGGCCATAAGTGTAAAATAGCAAGAAATGTTTTAGAAAACTGAAAAAATTTACTCGGCAAAGTAGCCATTTTACAAACAAAACGCACCACTGTGGTTGACTGTTTATTAGAAACTGGCCATCTAGTACTGAGCGAAGTCAACCACACTACAAAGTTAGACTTTTTCATAACCGAGCAGCCATATCGTCTACATCCTTTCTCTGCCCTTCACTAGGCCTCGTGTGACCCTACCATAACTACTCCATTTAGGTTAGTAACGTGGGCTAAATGAAGGAGGAGGGTTAGTTAGTATTTCTAGTTTACCCAAGTACTTAAAAAAGGGTTTACACACAACCACCGGCTCTCATTTCTCCTCGGTTTCCAGTGACCTTCACCACAGCCCGATACCCTCCAACTCGGCTTAACCACAAGCGGCCGCGGTCTCCGGGCCTTGCAGCTCGGGGAAAGGATGAGTGGGGTGGCGTGGGGAGGCGCGGCCGCTGGCTCACCTGCGTACCTGTCCACTCTTCCTGTCGCTACGCGCCGGGGTCGGCCTTTCTCCTGGCCCTAGGGCATCGCAAGGCTAGCCTGTGCCTCGCTCGCGTTCTAAGCTCGCCAAGCTCCTCTCCACAGCACGTAGGCGGCCTTGGAGGTGAGCGAATTGCGACCAGGTATCCCCTTCCCCAACGAGGTAGGGCCCCTCACACACTAACCTTCCCCGGGCCTTCCTCATAGTGGCTCCGACGGACCACAGAGGTTGTGAACCTCCGGATGCTGTGCCCCAACATGCCGCTGTTGGAAGCTCTGCAAAAAGACGCAGAGATGTCAAGCGGAAGAAAGGCCCTCTCTAGGCCAAGTCCTCCTTGCCTCACGACCTTGTTCCCTAGAGCGCGAAAGGGAAGATGGGAAATAGGGCAGAGCCTTTCGGGAAACGCGACAGGCGGGCTCTCAGGATTATGGGAATTGTAGTTCATAACTTTCCCGCTCCTTGCCTGCCAGGCAGCATTGTGGGAAATGTAGTCTAGTGCCGGGCTCTGGGAGGACCAGAGCCTGGGGATTCTTAACCAGCATTCAGACCTGAGTGCATTGCTTGAGCTCAAATTTAGGTTTCTTGGGACCTGTTTCCAGAAACGATTTTGTTAAGTGAAGCAACATGAAAATAAACCTCTGCAACATGAACATAAACCTCTTTTAAAAACATGAATATATCCCAAATTTCTAATTTGTAGTACTTTGCCTATATTGAGAAACGTGTGATATGATCTTAGAAGAGAAAACAAAGCATAAAAATAACCAAATACATCACATAACGAATTTCAGAGAAAAAAACTGAGTTGAAGTGCTGTGGGGCAGATTCTTGATGATATAAGGAACTGAATATAACAGGAGGGGAAGAGCAGAGAGCATTAAATTCTGGTATGAGTAGGACATGCTGGGGTGCGAAGAGGGTGAGCAGCCTCTGACACCTGAAGCTGGCCTGGACTAGGAGTAAACACATGCTTCACAGACTACCAACATGGCACAAGGCCACTTTGGTTGTTACGGGTGGATTAAGAACAGCATAAGCCACTGTATAATCATATCTGAACATCAGTAAGAACATAATAAATTTGGTCTAAATCTGTCTTTGTATTTGGTGAAATAATTTGGCCAAAAGCAGCTTCTTTACATAGTGAACTGTATCCTAGCTTGATGTGTAAACAAATTGTAACCAAGTAAGTAAGTCTTGCAGCCAAAAACAAAAATTGAACTTCAGCAAGCCACAGGATCAGGCATATAAAATACATATCATATATATCATCAGACATGTATATTTATGGTCTTATCTGCTCTGATTTTTTACATATATGTGTATGTATATATATATAATTAAACATAGCTGTAAATTCCAAATTCCTTTGATTAAGATCTGGAGTCTGACCCAAACAATGTATGCACATATGAATAAATGAATAAAGAAAAAAAAGAATTAAGGAAAGGAGAAAAAAAAAGAGCTGGAGTCTGTTCTGTTCTGAATCTGGTTGGACTCCCTGTGACTACTTTCACTAAGAAAGTGTGGCAGAAGTGATATTCTTCTAGTGTCTTGCTCATATGTAGCAATATTGGCAGCTTCCTTCCTTGCCTTTTGGAACACTTACATACCTACGTGCACAAACACACACCTATAAAATGTGTACTATACATAACGTAAATGCTAACCTTAGCCAATCAATTTTTTCTGTATGTCACTTCCCTTTCTGCACTTTAAATACAATCTGTACACGTGATAGGGTGAAGCATTCTGAATCATCATTAGTCTGAAATACTTATGGTCCTAAAACCTTTTTCTCATTCAAGTACATTTTGTTTAACTGGTCTTATTTTTTCTTCTAACACCATAAACATCATCGTATGTGATTCAGTATCATCATATTAACTTCTGCATCTTGGTTTCCTAAGATTTGAGACGAGAATCAATGTACCAAGTCCATAAGTATTTGTGCTATTTTAGTGAACTTGGTCTCCCTTATTTCTCTGAATAAACTCAGTGCTCATGACAGGTGTGTTTCTAGTAGTCTGTGACTAAGGGCGTTGAAAAGAAACCAGTGATAACTGAGCCCAGGAACATGGTGTTAGTATAGATTGTAAAGGTCCTGCTGACTTAAGTGTCATGTTTGTCACCTGCTGGAGAGTGTCTATTGCCCTAGATGGTTAACTTTTGCCATAGTAATACACAGTTCAAATGAGACCTAAGTTTTGTTTGAAAACAGGGTATATAACGTATAATTTAATCTTTTTACAGTTATTGAAAGAGAAAAACATGCTCCTTCATCACTCAGAAATAAAGCATTAAAAAATGTTTCATTTCTACAATTAGCTTCCTATTGAATTAGGATATGTGTGTGATTGGTGTCTTCCTCTTAATACGTAGAAGGTATTTTTTGGACTGGTGCTGGGGTTTGGAACTCAGGATTTGATGCTTTCTAGGAAGACTCTATCACCTAAGCCACATGCCTAGACCTTTTTGCCTTTTTTGGTTTTCAGATAGTGACTCCCACTTTTTACCTCAGACCGAGATGCCTCCTACCTCTCTCTCAAGTATGTGGGATTACAGGTATACACTATCATGCCTAACCCATGATCTTCAATATTTTAAATGCTTCACTCAGTGCATTTTCATGTTAAAAGTTTTTAACTATAATTGGAAATATTTTCACATTTAATAAGTAGGGATTCTACTTTTCAGTCTAATGCAAGTAACATCACCTATAGGTTTGGTCCATTATTGCTTCTAATTCACATTGAGATTCCTCTGTGTAATAGGTTGGAGATTCTGGAATATGGCTTCAGAATTGTCTGACTCCTTATGGACTCTGGGGCAAATTAAATATAGCTGCAAATCCTTTTGTGTTTTGTTTTATTTTTGGAGACAGGATCTTGCATGTCATCTGAGCTGACCTGAAATTCCAGCTAGCCTGAAACTTGAGATCCTCCTGCCTCACCCTTCCAAGGGCTGGGATTACAGATGTGAGCCACCACACCTAGTTCTGTAAATTTTTTTAATCAAGAAATGAGGTCTGTCCTTCTCTCCTGAATCTGAATGGACTCCCCGTGGCTACTTTCACTAAGAGAATATGGAGAAAACAACAGTTGCCAGATTCCTGCCCAGATGTAACAATATTGGCAGCTTCCTGCCCCACCGTTTGGAACGCTTTCACTTGGAGCTCTGAGCCTTTGTGAGGAAGTTTGCTCTGCTGGGATGGCCTCCTGGAGAGTTAGTTCCTGAGAAACCAGAGAAGACAGAGGCGCACAGGGAACTAAGCGATGTGCTATCTTGATCCCTCAGTTACTCCCAGGCACCAAATAGCATTGAGTGACCCCGGGCAGTGCTATGGGGCAGTGCAGAGTTGCACAAAATGTTAATCTATAGATTTGTGAGATGTAATAAAATGATTGTTCTTTAAAGCCATTAAGTTTAGGGTAGTTTGCTTTGCTATGTAGCAATCAAGGATACTTAGAAGTATCATAGTTGCTTTATTTAAGGAAATCACCCTTTTTAACTAGCCACCATGAGAAATCCCCAGTTTCTCTTCATCAATCTGTAGATGAGAATTTGGTCATGTCATTTAGAATATTAACCTTAGCTTAATATATATCTTTTTCTCAAGTCATGCTTATATGGCAATTCTCCAGGTGTAATAAAGTTAACATATCAGGACATGAAAGGACAGGAACTAGAGTAGTTCTATTTGATGGTCTTACAACAGCTTTGGCAAACTTTGGAGAGTGCTATCCACTCTGAGAAATGCCCTTTCCAGCTTTTTGATTCTCAGTGAGTTGAAGGTATATCAGAGTGGATTAAAAGTGGCTGTGATCACATTCTCTTGGCAAAATTACCAACATTTTTATTATTGTCTAGATACTACCAATATAATCAATTTTTCTTTTTTTCTTTTTCCTTCTTTCTCTTTCTTTCTTCTTCTTCCTCCCCCCTCCTCCTCCTTCTTCTTCCTTCTTCCTTTTTCTTTACTCTCCCTCCCTCCCTTCCTCCTCCCTTCTCCCTTCTTCTTCACTCCTTTCCTTCCTTCCTTTTCTATTGGTGCTGGGGCTTGAACTCAGGGCTTCATGCTTGCTAGGCAAGTGCTCCACCACATGGGACAACTCTTTTTGATTTAGGTTATTTTTCAGATAAAATATCACATTTTTTTGCCTGGGGCTGGCCTTGGACTGAGATCTTCCTACCCATGCCTCCTGCATAGTTGGGATCGCAGTAATGAACCACCAAGGACTGGCTTGTTTATTGAGGTAGGGTCTCAGTAACATTTTGCCAAGGCTGGCCTTTATCCTCCAAGCTGCCTCCCAAGCTGTGATAATTGGAGTGAGTCACCATGCCCAGACCCTAAAGTATGTTCTTCGTAATTATTTCAAAATATTTTCTTAAGAATACTTTTGTCAGTAAGACAATCTGAGCACAAAGGGACATTTTGTATTAGTCTTTTATGTTTTTCTTAATTACTAATTAGAAGCCAAGAAATAAATTAGTTTAAGACCATAATTATGGGTGGAAGAAAAGTTTAAAGAAGTCTAGTAATATTCCCTTTTTTAAAATAGATGATGTGATAAATTAGAGATGATTATAATTTCCTTGTAACTCTTCCCATTGAATGGCAAAATATGACATGTCTTTTCTTGACCTTGGTTACCAGCTCAACAATAGAATTCAATAGAGCAACATTCTGAAGCTAGCTCATCAAAATGCTTGCCATTTCCATTTAGGCAACTTAGAATGTTTCCTCACATACAATTCTAACTATCCTAAGACTTTCAGAACAAGAGGAGGTCGAAGCTATCTATTGGAGAACCCACATGATAGTGAGGAGGCTGGGGAAGGGGGAAGAAGGAGAGAAAGATGAGTCAGGAAGAAGAGAGAGAGGGAGAGTCAAGCAAGAAAGAGAGAGGAAGGAGAGGGTTAGTGAAAGACCCTCTGGCCAGTCCCTGCTGCTCCTGGCATCCCGGCCCTGGCACCAGACGTGTGAGTAAGGGACCCTTCAGGTGACTTCAGCCACATCCATTGTTGTCTACAATTTTATGAGCCCATCAGCCACAGAGCCATAAGACAACATAGCACTTGTTGGCTTGAAACTACCTCATTTGGGATAGTTTGTTATAAGGAGTAGAAGCCCACAGCAGGTATCATGCACTATTTCTTATGCAAGGACAGCAATCTATATTCATATCATGCTGGCAAGAAAAATGTGAATCATTCTAGAGAAACTTTGGACTCAGTATAATACACTTACCCTATAAAATTCATTTTAAGAGAAATGATACGTTCATGAATTGATTGTTGGAAAACACAAAACATCTTTATAGATATGAGATTTACTCCAAAGTTATATTTTAAAAATAAAATCCA